CCAATTATTTTTATAAGGATCCACGTACATGATATTCGCGCAGTCGTGCAATTAAGCTATTCAATGCTTGCGTGCGATTCTCGCCCCAAACAACTAATTTCGCGATCATTGGATCGTAATGTACGGACACTTCGTCCCCCTCGCGTACTCCTGTTTCGACGCGCACAAACTCGTTCGGTTGCGGTGTCGCTAGGTAACGCAGTGGGCCAGCACCAGGCAGAAATCCACCGCTGCATTGAGATTTATGGATAAAAGAAAGCATTTTCAAAAAATGTAATCCTAAGCTTTTACTAAACTTACCGTGGGTTTTCTGCGTAAATACGGGCCTCAAATGCATGCCCTTTGCGACCGATTTCCTCTTGCGTCAGCGGTAAACGCTCACCCGCTGCAATGCGAATTTGCCATTCGACCAAATCAGTGCCAGTGATCATTTCCGATATTGGATGCTCCACCTGTAAACGCGTATTCATTTCCATAAAGTGGAATGAGAGATCTTCCTTGTCCATGATGAACTCTACAGTACCAGCACCAACGTAACCCACTGCCTTGGCTGCGCGTACTGCAGCTTCGCCCAATTCGCGACGCAGTTGCTCCGACAGACCAGGCTGTGAGGGAAACATAATGTATGTTAGAGATCATAGTGTATATACAGTATCGCAAAATACTTACCGCCGGCGCTTCTTCAATGATCTTTTGGTGACGCCGCTGCACAGAGCAATCTCGCTCCCACAAGTACACCGCGTCGCCATATTGATCGGCAAACACTTGAACCTCTACGTGTCGTGGCGAGCGCACATAACGCTCCAATAGCACTGAACTGTCGCCAAATGACTTCTGCGATTCATTTCGCGCCGAATTAAGCGCTGTTAAAAAGTCTTCCCTTTTGTCTGCGACACGCATACCCTTTCCACCGCCACCGCGTACTGCCTTGATCATTAATGGAAACCCAATTTCTTCTGCTTCGGTCTGCAACCGCTCATCAGACTGATCATCGCCATGATAACCATTTATGATTGGTACGCCTGCGGCGGCCATAATCGCTTTGCTTGTACTTTTAATGCCCATATCCCGTATTGCCGTGCTGGGTGGTCCCATGAAAATAATATTCTCACGTTGACACAGCTCAGCGAATTCTACAGATTCGGAGAGAAACCCATAACCGGGGTGTATCGCTTGGCAGGCAGCTTTCTTAGCGATTTCAATAATGTGTTGGCCGCGCAAATAGGAAGCCGCCGACGCTGCCTCGCCGACTCGATATGCCTCATCGGCGAAAGACGCGTGTAGTGAGTGCTCATCTGGATCAGAGTATACAGCAACCGTACGCACACCCAACCGGCGCGCAGTGCGTATTACACGGCATGCGATCTCACCACGATTGGCGATCAGAATTTTGTTAATCGGCCGTACTTGTACATTGTGTGACGCCTTTGTACTGTAACCTCTGGAAGAGAGGATATGAAAATTGTTTACTCCCAAAAAGCACATGTTTATATACATAATCGGCGTGTAGGATACGAAGGTGTTTACTTAATTTATGGTAGCTGTATACTTCATTACCTGAACGAATAAACAATCCGCAGCAAATGAGTATACATTTTCCCACTTAAATACAGTAATCTTAAGAATAAAGGCTATGAAGCGATGAATAAACTAAAATAAACCAAAACAATTGCACTTTGTATTCTGTAAACACGCGATAACTATGGAAATGTTCTTATCAGTATTTGACAGATGCATCAGCTGTTTGATTGGAGCGTTTGTCCGTTGATCGTGTTGCGTCGCTAAAGGTGCGAACACAAACACGTCGAACATAGTTACGTTTTCGTACGCACTAGTCAGTAAAAGCCAGTAATAATTTTACTGGATTTTTAGAGGCTGGCGTTTTCGTACGCCAAAACTTGCAAGAAACCATAATACAAACATTAAATGTCGATATCTCAGATACTGAGGTCAATGTAGTAAATCCGACAGTGAATTCCACAAAGAAATTGAAGGATATGTTGTCCTGTTTTGTTTTCCATCTGAAATAATTTAAAAAAATTATTATGTTCGAAATGCAACCGTGGACAATAGTTGGCAATGAAGCTTGCAAATGTTTGCTAATACCTGTTCGCCCAAAACTTTCTCTCTTTGGGAGAGTAAGATCCCTTATTCTCTGAATTTTATTAATGGCTAAAGGCCGGTCCACATAGAACTTTCGCGTTGGCTTTGGCTTTGGCGTTAGTTTGACAGAACGCACGTTAAAAGTATGCTTGCTACAATCAACGCTTGGCAGCGAATGCTTTGAGCACTAGATTTAAATACTAACGACAGATAAATTAATATTTCATATCAATAATTGCATGAAACTTGATATTTCTTACCTACATTTGATTAAAAATTAAAAATATTTCACATAATTTTATTTATTTGCAACAGCTGATTGACAACGCGCGCAAAAAGATGAGAGATGCCCATCTTTTTGTGGGCGTTAGCTTTGGCGTTGGCGTTGCCGTTGATATGTGGACATGTCCATATAATTGTGTGTATTCATAGTCAGCTGTTAATCAACGCCAACGCCAAAGCCAACGCCAAAGTTCTATGTGGACCGGCCTTAAGGGCTCTGTTATGCATACTTGGCATTGCTTGACAGTTGTCACATAAGGAATCTGTTAAATTCAACATTGCTCCAGCAAAATCGCTGGTGTAAATGGTGATTTAAAAAACGCTTGCCTCAAAGTAGAAAGCAAGTCAACTTTTGCATGCGATTATCGCCTGTCAAAAAATCGCCTCATGTAAAGGCAGCATAAGCGGCTACCGAACGCACAGCATGACATACGTAGAAGTCTGTTGGTTTTTGATTTCTACGTAAAAATTGTATAGCAGTGTATGCACTGTCCAGTATGCATAACAGAGCTTTATTTCTTACTGGCTTTTGCATAGCGAACATAACTATTTTTACCTGTAACTATTTGCCAATAAAAAAAAAAAAACAGCGGATAACATGATGCTGGGTGCGATTCGCACTAATAAAAAAAGTGTTTATGAGGCTCTTATTGTTGAAATTGACAAAATAAACCAATTTAAATATACATATACTTAGATATTCTTTTAAAAAATGTTTTTTTTTTGGAAATTGCTGTTGGTGCTCAACTGCGCGGTCGGCGTTTGCCCGCCCCCACTGAAAAACCTAAGACGCTGAGCCCAAATTTGCGCATCGCATTAAAGGCTAAAAAAGCAATACCAATTTACCTTTAATTTACAATAATTCGCTTATAAGTTATTGGCAAATATACATGCGATTTTATGCGTATACTGCAGAAGGGCATTTAACGCAGAACTACACTGTTGGGTGGTTCACAAGTTGTCGTACGTGTCGTATTGTCGTATGTTGTAAAGTTTTTAACGGCTAAATAAATGTTTAGAGGACTTGACATCACCACCAACTATTTTTTAACGGTGTGAAATTTCATAATAAAACTTTTATGTTAGCTTGCGAATTTTTTTAAATATAGTTAGGGTTCAATCGATACAAGTAAATACTCGATATTTTTCATTTGATACCAAGTATTTTTTTACTCGATACCTTTTTGTTCGGTATCGAGTAAGTATCGAAAAAAAGTACTTGGTATCGAAAGAGGAGTTTCTACTACTTTTATCATTGCAACGGCAACTCAACAAGTGACGTCCGTTATTGGAGTTTTCGCGAAAAGTGCGGTCATGTAGTAGAGAGAGTAGAAATCGCTTGTCTGGAAAGCATTTAGAAAAGTGGTTGTTTCTTGGCAGTGTGCCCCAAAAGCTATTTTTTTATATTTTGTGAATAATATACTTATATGAAGTCATATATGTAATTATAACTAATATTGTTCCTCAGCAATGTACCAAAAGAAACAATAAATTTTTTTTTTCATAAATAGTTTGTAAATGATGCAGTGTGATGTATACTTATGGAGGTGACCTTATGGATAAGTGTCGGATTTTTATTTTTATTTTCAAATTAATTTTAGCTACTTTTTTATAAAAAATATAGTTCATTCTATGACAAAAACCATGTAAATCCAAGTTTAAAATTTTGTACAAAAATGAAAAGAAAATCAAAGTTTCACCAAAATTAAACACTTTTTATTCAGAATAAAAAGTGTGGAATTTTGATGAAAACGTACTAGCGCAAAAGAGAAGGCACAAGTTGTCCCTTCTTATTATTTACGTTCTTTGATGAAACTTTGTTGATTTGCTTTTAGATTTTGTACAAAGTTTTAAACTTGGATGAACAAGGTTTTTGTTATGGAATGAACTATATTATTTATAAGAAAAAGTGAATAAAACTAATTTGAAAATAATAACCAAATAAAAATCTGAAACTTATCCATATTGGGTGTATGGGTCTCATAGGACTGAAAAAATTATAACCAATACTGTTCCTTGGTAATGTGCCACAAATATTAATTAATAATTATTTAGTATTCTTACTAAATAACTTAAATATATACGTTTTCTATACCTGCAACTTTATTGGATTTTTATTTAATTTTGACATACAGTGTTTTAAACCATGATAAGGCGTAATCATACGACCTTTTACAACAAAAAAGGGAAGTATCGCTCGAAAGAGAAGATGAAAACAATTCAAGTAAGTACTCGCTACTTTGCCGATACTGAGTAGGTATCGATACTTTTAGTCTTTTGAGTAAAAGTACTCATTAGAGTGATACCCTAGTGGTATCGATTGAACCCTAAATATAGTTTTAGCCGTTTAAAGTTTATGACATACAATGGTACGACAGTATATAACACCTTGTGAACTGTATGCCTATATATATAATTGGAATGATTCAGTAAAATAAAGCCAAAGAAAATACTACTCACGGGCTTTATTTCCTTTTATAAATCAAGCGGGCGTTATTCCTTTCCTTTGGGAAATAAAGCCCGTCGCTATTATTGCTCTTTCGCAAAGGAAATAAAGTCCGTGGGTTTTATTGCCTTTTATTGGTAAGCGCTATTTCCCCTTCGAAATGGAAATAACGGCCATGAGCTTTATTTCTCTTTTTTTTTTATTTCCGCGGGCTTTTATGCACTACACCGTTTGTTACTATAAAGCTTAGTATCCAGCTCTTAAGGAAATGGCCAAGAAAAAAATTGCATTCCGAAAACAAAGCGCGACAGTCTACTACCGTTTTAGTGAATGTATTGTGTACGTGAGTGCCGTTTTTTGTGTAAATATCAGTGTTGCCAACTTCTGGGTTTCAAAAAGCACCAAAACTTGGGGAAAAAAGCGTTTTACCGTACTAAAAGCACTAATTTTTTTATACCAAAAGATATTTTTTTCATAACAGTTTGTATTTAACAAAAATGAAAAAAATAAATAATATTTATAAGTATAATTCAATACACACAAAACTTTTTCTCATGCTGACGAAGTAATACCGAAGTAAGTACTGCAGATTAAAACTGGTATATTTATGTATAATAATAATAGATTGGCGCTTACACATATGTTAGTGTTTGGCCGAGCTTCTCCTCCGATTTGTGGCGTGCGCATTGATATTGTCACACAAAGGGGGTATACTGGCATATTTAGAGGAAGAAAAATCGAATCGCAACAAACGAAAAAATTAATGTAGATTCTTTTAAATTCAGTGCTGCTACAGCTTTAAATATTTCAAATTATTTCATGTTCTAACTATCTATGAGAAATTTGAGTTCAGAAGAAGAGCACTAAAAAAGGCACTAGGCACTAAACAATTTTTTTTTTGCGTTTTAATTTTCAAAAAGCACTAAATCTAGTGCTTAAAGCACCAAGTTGCAACTATGGTAAATATGTGTTGTGTACATGTTTATTTATAAACGAATGTGTTCCTTTTCTTTCGTACGTGTTTATTGATATATCTGTACGGTAATATTTTCGGACGGGACTAGCTCTTACTGCCAATATAGGAGTATTACATATCGCACACCGTCTTTCAAAGAGTCACAACTCAAAATAATACGTGTGTTAGAAAATGCGAGACACTATTTCGTAGCACATGATAATCATATGGGCAAGGGCGACTTTACCTTAGTTTTTTTTTTAACAAATTATGACCAAAATTTGTCCCGGGTTTTGCTGAAAGGTAAATAAGAGCTCTGTGTACACTTCAAGTGCATAATCTCAAAAATGCCAAAATTTGAGTTGTGACCCTTTTGAAGACGGTGTGCGATATATAGGTTGTCCAAGGAATTTTGTAATCTAATATTTTACAGCCTGTTGCCTCTTTTCTCAAGAAATAATGGAACGGGCATATATTTCTGTTGCAAAAGTGGGCTGCCTGGTGCTCTTTTTCCCCAAAAAAAAAAAACTTTAGAAAACCGTAGTAGAAAGTGTAGCAAATTTCTTACGAACTGAAACTGAAAAGTCTATCGAAGGAAGATATGATCCAGGTGACATATGAGGCGGTGGCTCGGGTCTCGAACTTGAGCCACTTCATCTTAGCATTAGAGCAGGCAGCAAAGCGAACTCTACTAACTTTCACAAGAGAAGGCTTTAACAAAGATAAAACCTTATCATCGAGGAGCTCGGCTGCCAGATTCCACTGACTTTGATACCTAGAGATGATAAGCCCAAATGGGTAGCATTTGAGAGAAAATCAGGTAGAGCTTTGCTGCAAGGCAATTTGGAGTACCTCCTTTATGGAGAAACATATACAGGCTAGCTTGCAGCAATGGTATACAGATGGCTCCGTAACTCCTCTTTCA